ATCCTACAGACTTCCTGGGCTACATTTTAGGAATCCTTGTCCTGAAGATTTTAGGACAAACAGAGCAGCTGCTTCATTAATCTAGAATCCAGTACCACGTACTCCACTCCGGTAAGAATACACCTGAAAAGAGAAGTTTGCAGCCTAGGACATTACCTCATCCTGGAGGGTGGCAAATTCCTCAAGAATGTGACCCAGTTTATCTCTCTGACGAGCTCTATTGTGTCCATGGATTTGAATCAGACTACAGAATGGCTGAAAGAAAAAAAGAGTAGTTTTAAATTTCCAACACAACCTTGAAACTACAAAAGAAGCACTATGATGTCTATTTAGGCACCTGTTTTATACATCTGTATTAGGAGGCGGGTTCCTCAAGGCTCCCTAGGGAACGCAAGCTAGCGGGCAAGCAAACCCTCCGGAGCAAAGCAAGAGCCCACTTCTCTGCACACAAATCAACGTGAGATAGCGTGAGCATCCTTTAGGAATCAGATCAGAACAGAATCCTTCGGGTAAGGGACATACTTCTTACGCCTAAATCCATGTGCCCAGGTGGCCAAGAAGGCCAACAGCATCCTGGCCTGTATCACAAACAGTGTGGCCAGCAGGAGCAGGGAAGTGATCATGCCCCTGTACTGGGCACTGGTGAGGCTGCACCTCGTGTGCAGTTTTGGGCCCCTCACTGCAAGAAAGACACTGAGGTGCTGGAGTGTGTCCAGAGAAGGGTAATGAAGCTGGTGAAGGGTCTGGAGAACAAGTCTTGTGAAGAGCAGCTGAGGGCACTGAGGTTGTTTGGCCTGCAGAAGAGGAGGCTGAGGGGAGACCTTATCGCTCTCTACAACTGCCTGAAAGGAGGCTGTAGTGAGGTGGGGGTTGGTCTCTTCTCCCAAGTAACTGGCGATAGGATGAGAGCAAATAGCCTCAAGTTGCGCCAGGGGAGGTTTAGTTTGGACAGGGCAGTGCTTGAGTCACCATCCCTGGAGATATTTAAAAGATGTGGAGATGTGGTGCTTAGGGACATGGTTTAGTGGTGGGCTTGTCAGTGTTAGATTAACGCTAGACTTCATGATCTTAAGGGTCTTTTCCAACCTAAGTGATTCTATGATTTTCTTAGCTTTTCACTGTGCCGCATTCAATAACTGAATCTTTTAAATCAATTTCTAAAATTTTGAAATTGGAGAGAATGTAAAAATAATTTTGGTTTTACTAGTGCTATGCATTTGTTTTGTGACAAGAAACTACCCTGCAAAGAGGTATTAGGTGCAGATTTCAAGTAAAGTGAAACGTTAGTGAAAAATCTAGAAGCATAATACAGGAAACAAACAGCAATAATTATACTGGCTTTTTTAAAAGGGTTACCACTTTAAGATAGCCACCTTCTGCAATTTTGCCTCCATGTCAGGTGTCTTAAAAGAACTGGTCTCATTTTCAAAGGTAAGCAAATCTTGGAAGTGCTCATAAACACACAAACATGCTGTAATTGGAATGAACGCTTACCCTAACACAATGTGTCACAAAGGAATCAATGTAGTCCTTCGCCTGGTGATTATTATAGAGACAACACCTAAAAGGGAAATATCCACATCCAAGTTACGTATGTTTATAAACGTCACCAGTCTATGTGGCACAAAACTAAAAAAGAAACATGAGTGCAGCAACCACAACTGACTCCTTCGTACATAAGCGCTAGCAAGTACAAAATGTCTATGTTCTTCATACGGCTGCACTGGCAGAAATACATTTTCATCAGACACAAACATACGCAAGTACATTCAAGATCCACTTACTTTGGAGAAAGTACTGGAGGACTGACAAAAGACCTTAAAGCATCTTTCACCATGTCTTGCATGAGGTGAGTGCCAAACACCTTCTTGTTATCTACCAGAAAAGTGGTCTGAAAGTAAAAATGTGGGTTTAGAAACATGTTTTACTAAGAGAAAGCTCTTACAAAACCTATGTCAGAAACTTTTCAGATTGCTTTAAGAATTAAAATGGTTCAGCAAGGTACAAGGTTACAGGCTCAAAAATAGAAGCATGTTGAGATCTGTTACTTCAGGGGTATTCCCATGACAGAAAACACAGCTCTGTTACTTGCACAAGACAATGCATGCAAAATGATTTTACTTCTTGGACTCTGAAGAGGATTAATCAGGCAGATGTTTCTGAAGATTAACACAAAATGGGTTACGTAGTTTCCCTGGAAGCAGAGAAAGGTAAATCTTCAAACTAATGCAGACTTTTTTCTATCCCTACAGATACTACTGCTTTCATTGGTCATATCTGATGCTTATTCCGCTTTCCTCCATGAGTGCTGTGTCCCTTTCTTACATGGTTCTTCAAGGAGCTGGAGAAAGAGCTCTGCTGTCAGGCACCCACAGGGATCGCAGAAACACGTGTAGTGGTTTAGTAAAGAATAAGGCTGGTTTGTAATGAAGTATGCGTATGTATGTATCCATTGCTGACTAACTAACTAGTCTTTAGAGATACGAAGGAAGAGAAGTTAGCCAAATGAAGGACACCAGGTGGAATCCTCCAACCAGACTGTGGGGCTGAAGGAACGCAAAGGACTGAGCAGGAGAGATAGGGAGGGCAGCTAGCAAGAGCTGGTTCTGTGAACTGGAAAAGACCCAGGATGGTACAGGGCATGCGCCACAGGACAAGTTCAAAAGTTCAACCATGAGGAAGACTCGGACCTTCATCCCCGACAACCACCAACGGAGATGTAACTTGGGCAGACTGAGGCGGGAGGAAATTATGTTAATGAATTCCTGGAAACGATTAGAATAACCCGACTTTTTCTTAGAAACGTAATCAATATGTACAAAAGCTATAAATATAAGGCAAGAATCCTGACGCATGGGCGCGCACGTATGGAAGGAGCTATCCCCTGTGCTGCCCAGCGCTGCAGTAATGAATACCTGCTTCATAACACTGGGTTGTTACTGAGCTTTCTCCGATTCAGTGGGAAGTCAGAACACACACACACTATGAAACACTTCACTTGCCAATAGTTATATTCCATCGGCTCTATCTGTGGTTTAACTGGGATCAAACGTAACGAAGTTCTGATGTCCAGGGACACCCTATTCAAATCAAACCCTCCTATAAGGAAGTGTATTTTACTCTGAGCTAAGGAATATCTAGTAACTTTCAAGGTAAGTGAAGCAGTGAGAAGAAAGTAGTAGTCTGCTCTGCCCTAACCATCAGTTTTACTGTTGTAGCAATAGAGGCAGTCTATAAATGAAATTCGGCCTAAACAGGGCGGATGAATTCAAACACCAGCCCCAAACTGAAACAGCACACCGAGAACAGCATAAAAATGCGTGTACAGGTCCAGCTTTATGGCAGAGAAAAAATTTTTACACTGTTTTCATTAGCATGTACTAACATGATGTAAACAACAATATTTAAAAATGTTTTAAGAAATTAGATCAGAACATAAGCCTCCATATACCTAATACTGAAGTATCTCCAGAAAATTTTTTACCACTTCTACATTACTAAGTGACATGCAAATAATTAAAATATTTGAAACAAGAAGATGAATCTGTATTTATAATGAATACACAAGTATTTTAGTCAAAGACGCAGATTAGCACTTGCCTGCAACAGGGATCTTGAAAGAACACATGGCGATTGCTCACTAAACTCACAGAAAAAATCCTAATTTCCATTTAGAAAAAAAAGACAATTCAGGTTAATATGCCCATTTTTTTATGTCTATACACACAGTTACAGTTTTATGCACACACACACATATGCATTTTTATATACACACACATACACGCAATTGTGTAAATACACCTATATTTTGTATACGCAAACACACTTATACAACTTGCAGCTTATAGAACTTGTAAGAAAGCATGAGTAATTCAAACAAAACAGAACCGATTACAACACTAAAATCTACTTTTTTTCTGCAATTACTTGTTACTTAACAGAACAACAGGTTTCTGAATTTCCTTCTTCAGATGCAACAATGAGAAGGATGACAGGATAGGAAAAAAAAGATACCATGAAACTGTTGAAATCACAACATAACAGGACCAGGTATGTAATGAAACTGCAATGTTTAACTGGTACCAGAAGCTTCATACAAACGCTGCTTTAATTAATCAGGTGTGGTGGTCTAGTGTCTGGCACAGTTTCGGTATCGGGGGAGGGGGCTATGGAAGTAGCTCCTGGAAAAGGCTTCGAGAAGCTCCCCTGGCTCCAATTTCGGACCCGCCTCTGGCCAAGGCCAGGCCAATGGCGCCTCTGCAAATAACTGTTCAAGAGTGAAAGAAGTGATTGATTCTGGCCTTTTATTCTGTGTGTGTTGGTGAGCGAAAGGAGACGTGAGAGAGACAGCCCCGCAGAGCCCCGGTCAGTGAGGCAGGAGAGGGGCAGCT